AGGGGATAGTGGTACAGGAGGAAATAGCTGTGGGGGATGGAGTGGTAGGAAAAGTTGAGGAGATCGGCAATTAGCTCAGGGCGGGGTAGGCTTCCCTGAAGAGATGGGTTTTCAGGGTGCGTCTAAAAGGTGAGGAGAGTAGGTGATAGTCTGATGGATTGGGTTAGGGAGTTCCAGATGATGGGGGAAGCCCTGGAGAAGTCCTGGAGACGGGCATGGGAGGAGGAGACCAGGGAACTAGAGAGTAGGAGGTCTTGTGAGGAGTGGAGAGTATGTTTTGGGTGGTAGTTGGATATCAGGTCGGTGATGTAGTTTGGGGCAGTGTTATGAACAGCTTTGTACGTCAATGTTAGCATTTTGAATTTTATCCATTGGGCAGTCGGAAGCCAGTGGAGGGATTGGTTATTAACTGCTTCCCAACCGCCCTATAGCAGAACTACTGCTAAAAGGTGACAGGGCTGCGCAAAATCACGTATACATATGTGATTTCTCATTTTTGGGTAGGGGCGCGCACCGCCCTACCTGCACTGCTGTTGGCGGCTGCAGATGTCGATCACCTGTTCACTGCCGTAGATTCCCCGCTGGCACCCGTGATTGCCAAGTGTTGCTGACAGGGGAGAGACCTGTATGTAAACAACACAGGTTTCTCTCGTGCCAGCAGTAATTTGCTGTGTATTTCTCTGCACAGCAGAGCAATACAAAGCAGTGTGCATACAGTGTAAAGCACACACACAGTAAAACAGCACACAGCTAACGCTTTGATCACCCCAGAAGTTAACCCCTTCCTGCCCAGTGTCATTAGTTCAGTGTCAGGGCTTTTTATTGGCACTGATCACTGTATTAGTGCCATTGAGATGTCAGTGGTAGTTAGTACCCCCCAGTGTCAGAATGCCCGCCGCAGTCTCGTTATAAGTCGCTGATCACTGCCATTGCAAGTATAAGAAAAAAAAAATCCAGTATATATACCGCCATTTGTAGACGCTATAACTTTCATGAAAACCAATTAATTTACATGTATTAGGATTTTTTTTTTAGCAAAGACATGTAGCAGAATACATTTTGGCCTAAATTTATGAAGAAATTTTTTTTTTTTTTACTGGACATGTTTTATAGCAAAAAGTCAAAAATATTTTTTTTTTGTCAAAATTGTCAGTCTTTTTTTTCTTTTATAGCATAAAAAAAATGTAAAAAAAAAAAAAAAACGCACAGGTGATCAAATACCACCGAAAGAAAGCTTTATTTGTGGGGAAAAAGGACACATTTCATTTATGTACAGCATTGCATGACTGCGCAATTGTCAATTAAAAGGAACGCAGCGCCGTATTGCAAAAAATGGCTTGGTCAAGAAGGGGGGAGGGGGTAAATCCTCTTTTGGACAAGGTTAAGGAGTCAGATAGTATGAAGAGTTACTCATTTTCACCCTGATATATGAAACATCAATCTACATGAGAAACCAATTCGCTACAAAGACATGTTTTGGATGGAATGCCTCTCTGATTTTTAGTAAATCAAGCCTAAAGCATATAGCCTACAGTATGTAACACAAGCAGAATTACTGGAATGTTCCTTGGGATTAAATGAGCATTAATATCTATGTCAATAGCAAAAAAGAATGAGTCACCATGCTGACATAACTACAAAAAGTCCATAGACAATATACCGAGACACAAACACACCCACATAATACTGACAATAAAGGTGATGACCAACTTTCCAACATCTCTGCAAAGGGGCAGTAATATGCTTTTATACTGTTAACAGCCCCACTTTAAATCCTCTTCCCTGCATTTTCATTGGTCTATATATTACCATTTTACCTTGCTCATTTGCCTGGACTGGTGTGGGGGCAACCTTCATATCCACATCCTAAAAGGTATATGCATTGGAGGTTGGACTGCACCCACTCTTGCTTTTGTGATTCAAAAACATACATTTTCAAAACAAAATTCTACTGATGTATGACCAGATTTAATATCCAATATCTTAACAATAGCAAATTAAATAAGACTGAACTTATATCTAGTTATAAGAGAGGCAGAGCTAGCTGGCAATTAGGCAGCTGTCTGGATCCTGACAATATTGTTGGGATCCTTCCTAAACTTGGCACGGCTTTGCCCCTTCAGCTGATAGCAGGCAATAGCTTGACAATAGCAAATGTACTCCCATGACCCAAAAGAGAAGTACAGCACGAAAAGGTTTGGCGATAGTTCTCTCTAATATATCAATAAATGTATCATTTTAAAATGCAAATTGTGCAAAGTACCTGAATTTGACTTGGTATCAGCCTCTAGTAGTCAGTGTACAACAGGGCTGGAGTGTGAAAGGAGCCAATCGGTTCACCAGTTTAAGAAGCATGCTGATAGGAGGAGAAAGCAGAGTGACAGAGAGATGAACTCATTGCTGTGCTGCTTCTCCCTTCATTGTCCAGTCAAAGACTGGGCAGGTCCTGGATGATCAGGGCTAAGAACCAGCGGGTAAATAAAACTGGCCATCAGATTGAGGACATCTAGCAGCCCAGAAAAAAAAAAAAACACACTACATGGGAAATGGCTGCATTGAAGATTAATATTGCAGCAAAAAAAGTGTTTTCGGCTCCATGCACACTGGGCATTTTAATAACGCTGGTAACGTTAGCTATGTAAAGTCAGTCACGTTAAAAACGTGAATTTTTCAGCGGCTTTGTATTAGCGTTTAGCCCCATTTTTTTGGCGTTTGCGGTTTTTAGAGGTTTTTTTGACCCAAAAAAAAATTTTAAAGTAAAAAATGCTGGTTTGCTGCAATTTATCACGTTTTGCAGCTTTAGATCGTTTTTACAGCTAAAAACCTCCTCCAGAAACCCACTAGGTTTTTTTTCCAGCCAAAAACGTTGATCACAGTTCATGTGTGCATGGACACATAGGATAACATGTTGGGGGTTTACTGGCTGTAGAAAAAAAGTCAAAAGCCAAAAACAGCCGCTGTAAAAACATGTGCATGAGGACTTAGTTTATCTTTAATGGGCCATTCATTTTTCTTGATCTTATTGTGTCTGGCTATTATGAATTAATTCAAGCATACATATAACAATTTTTTTGTTTTGGGTAGAGTACAGAAAGATTAGAACTGCTGTCAAGTTTTAGTGTTGTCTGTGTCCCAGTTGCGGAAATTCATCCTATTTGTCCTAGTCATCCAAACAGAGAATGATGGAATGTTAAACATTTTACAGCTGTCATCACAAGAGGTATGGGGAATATATGGAAGAATAAAAAGCCAAGAATATCATATGAAATATTAAGTAGGACTAAAGAGAAGGGAGGAATGGGTCTGCCAGATGTCAAGAGATACTATAAAGCAGTGGTTTTAGCAAGAATATACGACTGGACATTTAACCATAAGGGGAAAAGTTGGGTAAAGATTGAAAATGATCTTAGTGGGATTAGACTTAGTAAAATGATATGGGTTCCAGCACAGTTTAGAGGAATTAAAGAAAGCACAAGTATTTACACATTAAATGTTTTAAGGGTATGGGACAACTTACACAAAAATATGAAATGGGAATTTAATTCTATATTAATGCCTCTTACAAATACTGAGTACTTCCCTCCGGGAAAGGATAAGATATCAGGGAGATGGTTTAGAAAGGAAGATATCCAACTGAGAGATGTTTTGGTGGAGGGGGAATTGAGACCATTTAAAGAATTAACAAAGAAGAAGGGAGATATCTTTACTGGAATAGATGAATGGAAATACCATCAATTGAAATGTTTTATAGGAAATCTCCCGAAACCCCTGAGATTAAAACAGGAGTGGAATTTGTTTGAAAGGCTGTTAGAAACACGGGGGATGGGAAGCACGGTATTGCAAAAATTTATAGAATACTCACAGAATTAGACACAAACACAAAGTTAACTTTTATAACAAAATGGGAAAGGGATACGGAAGTAGTGTTTGATGAGGATAAACAGAGAAAGATATTTAGACTGATACACGAGAACGTTAGTATGAGAGAGGTTGAGATTAATTATAAGTGTGTGACACGATGGCACATTACACCGAGTGTTGAGCACAAGATGAATGGGGAAAATTCAAAAATGTGTTGGAGAGGATGTGGTGAGACAGGCACGGTGTTTCACATTTGGTGGGAATGTCCGAAAATCCAAGCTTTCTGGAAGACAATAGTCAAATTGATTGAAGAAATAACTGGAAACGACATAGGGTTAGACCCAACGATGTGCCTCCTACATAATGTTGAGACATCAGTAAATAAATATAAAGAGTCAGGCATATGGTACTACTTAAATGCGGCAAAAGGTTTGATTCCCAAGTTTTGGCAGAAAACTGAGGTACCGAAGGAGGAAGACTGGATTAATAGAGTAAACCAGATTGGTAGAATGGAAAAAACGTACCATATGCAGGAAGATAGAATGGGAGTATATCATAAGAGATGGGAAAAGTGGGAAAAAGCAGCATTGAAAGAGAAATATAGAAAACTATAAACTAGGACGTTATTTAAAGTGAATAAGCCTTGAGAGACTAGAATGGGTTAGAGCTTGCAGAGGGGGAGGAGGGGGGGGGGCGGGTATGGGAGGGGGTGGGTCGGAAAAAAAAAAAAAGAGTTTTTAGAAGGGGAAATGTAGAAATGTTATAAATGATTATATGTGAATTGTTTCCCTACATGGATATTTGTAATAATATGAAAAATTAATAAATATTTAAATTAAAAAAAAAAAAAGAAGAGGTATGGGGAAATCTTCTAATGGGGGCAAGTGTCTAACAGTGGAATCCCCCCCACCTCACTTTGGAGAGATGTTTTCCAACTTCCTGCTGTATCTCCAGGACAGAACATAAAAGAAAACCTCCCCAATTAAGACATAAAAAAAATAAACTGATAGAAGGTTTACCATTTCCTACGCTATCCAAATTAAAAAGAAAAGGTTCAGCAAACATGCACTTTCAAATGCAGATGCCATTGGCTAGTATTAATGAAAAGGCTACCTGGACAATGTCGGTAACGTACTTACCTTTTGAGGATTTTCTCAGCATGGTCTGCTGAAATGTTTATACCTAAAGCCTTAAGGGAATTTAAGATTTCCGATGCTTCAATCTTTCCTGGAATGAGAGAGGTGAAAGATGAGTGGAAGAAAATGTTTCCGTGTAAATTAAAAGAATGCATTCTACAATCAATGAAAATGAAAAGCACAAACATTTTTAATCTCCAGAAGCAGTGCTGCTAAACTATGGCCTGTACCTACAATTAAAGTAGAGCTCCACCCAAAAGGGGAAGTTCCACTTTAATGCTTTGTCCCCCGCTCCCCATTAAAGATTGGCACCTTTGGGGAGTGGGTACCCGAATTTAAAAGGTACCCGCTCCCACTTTCGCTGCTATCGCCTTGGCCAGGGGTCCTCAAACTACAGCCCGCGGGCCACGTGCGGCCCACCGAGGACAGGGGACTAGGGTTTGGCAGGTCGGGAGAGCTCGGCAGGGCTCGGGCGGGAGGCAGGAGGGTGGGATCAGCAATTCTAGAACAGGGGAAGGTGGGCTCGGCTTATGAACCTGCACTACTCACCTGGCCTCTCTGCAGCCAGCCGGCCATCTATTCTGATCAGTGAATGCAACAGTCACGGCCGGAGGGCGGAGCCTAGAGCTGACCATGAAGAGGGGGAGCAAGAGAGGAGAGACTCCATCGCTGCATGTCGGGTATCACGGCCACAGACCCTAGATAAGTGCAATAGATGATCGATCTCCTTCCTCTCGCTTTCCCCCTCTCTCTCTCCCTCTCCCCTCCTCCTCCTCTCCCCCCCCCTCTCCTCTCCCCCCCCTCCTCTCTCCCCCCCTCCTCTCTCTCCCCCCCCCCCCCTCTCTCTCTCCCTCCCCCTTATCCCCCCCCCCCTCTCTCTCTTTACATTGTACACAGATCTGACCCAACAAGGTGTCCTGCATCCACCGTATATTTCACTCCATATGACACACTTGGGGGGAAATGTCTGTGCGTCTTAAGGAGCGGCTGGCCCAGTATTCCCGCCACCGTTGTATGTCCGCAGTCTCTGGTCATCTCATGTACTATGTCTGCATTTGTTCATAGTTTTTTTTTTTTTTAAACTATAGTCTGGCCCTCCAACGGTCTGAGGGACAGTGAACCGGCCCCCTGCTTAAAAAGTTTGAGGACCCCTGGCCTAGGCGATCGGAAGCAGAAGTTGTCCTCCCTCCCCGTAGTCTTCTGGGACACGTGACAGGTCCCAGAAGACTATGGGACCATTAAAAAAGCGCAGCACTTCTCACGCATGCGCAGTGGGCACCCGGCTGTGAAGCGGCAAGCTGACACACCCGGGTGCCCACACTGAAGATGCCAGGGAGAGAAGACGGACAGTGAAACCAGCGGTGGTGAGGACACCGCTGGACTGAGGAACAGGTAAGTATCTGTATTTTAAAAGTCATCAGCTTCAGTTTTTGTAGCTGCTGACTTTTTTTTTTTTTTTTTTCCAGGTGGACCTGCGCTTTAAGATTGTTCTAAGTGCAGCACACTTGCAGCACTCTCTACCGCATCTCTGAAAAGTGACTTGCAATAGATTTCTTTTTTGGAGGGTGACAAAGCAGTGGCTGGCAGGCATTCAGGAAGTGGTAGTGCCTGCATTTTTTTTTTTTTTTTTTTACAGCTGATTGGGGATTTTCTATATAAAGTCTAAGCCAAAACTGCAAGCCAAGCGTTCGACTTGAGGTTGCTGCTGGACCCCATTTATTTGTCACGTGTTGCCAGGGCCACAAAGCAAAAATTTTGCCTGTGGCATGTGCAAGAATTTTTTTTCTTTTAGGTGCTTGGTCAGGGAGTGGAAAATCTGCGGTCAAAAGCACTAAACTTCGAAGCTCCTGATATAGCTAGGAATAGTTGGCAGACAACATAACAATTAAGGACAGAAATGCAGCATAAATGTGCCTGAATGAAACATTAATAAACCTACACATGGTTTGGTTTCAAGGTCAATAAAGTGCTGGAAAAGAATCTGCAACAAAGCATAAGGTAACACTAAACTATACAATCTTCCTTAGATCAACCATCAACTATGTAGTGCAGGGGGGTTATACTGATAACAAGTTCAAACAGGTGCCATTGGTAATGAGTGCAGGACAGAGGAGCCTCTTAAAGAAGGTACAGGTCTGTGAGAGCCAGAAATCTTGCTTGTTTGTAGGTGACCAAATACTTAATTTCCACCATAATTTGCAAATAAATTCTTTCAAATCAGCCAATGTGATTGTCTGGTTTTTTTTTTCTCATTTTGTCTCTCATAGTTGAGGTCTACCTATGATGCCAATTACAGGCATTTTAAGTGGGAGAACTTGCACAACTGGTGGCTGACTAAATACTTTTTTGCCCCACTGTACATACACCTCAAATTACAGAGAAGGCCAAGTGAAAGTCAAGTGACAAACCAACAGGTAGTACACTGCTAATGATCATATTACAGAGTTCCATTATGTGTAAGGTCATGTCGGAGATTAGGGTCATCTTCCTTTCCTTATGTGGTGGTACTAGGTAGTGTAGTCAGTGGACATTCTGGACTGTGGAGATCCTGGTTTTAAAACTTTAAAGGGTATTGACAGCACAAAGCGACAGAAGTAAGGTACTGAAATTAGACTGCAAAGTGAAACAAAAAGAAAGCTCACTAACCTTGCGCATTACCTCATTAGAAAACTTGATTTTATTAAAATGAGATATATACTCACAAACAAAGCAGTAAAACAAGCATGCAAGATCCTCAAAGGAGTATTAAAGTGCAAGACCAGTGCGAGTCACATCAATGGGGGGAGACACTGTTGCGTTTCGAAGGGGGTCCCTTCTTTCTCTTCAAAACGCATCAGGAAAGATTTTGAGACTCTCTCTTATTGATGTGACTCACAGTGGCTATTTGATCCTGTCTTCTCTGATTCTCCACTTCTTCTACTGTCCCCAATCCATCTGCTGATAGTACAGAGCTCTAGGAGTCACTCTGCACATGCTCAGTTTAGTGTGTATTGCTAGAGTTTTTTTTTTCCTTTGGGAGGGTGCATGTAATCAGCACAGGGCCAATCGGTGCTGTCCAGACAGAGGGTCAGGGGTTATGCAGCCTCACAGAACAGTCAGAGGAGAATTAAAACTCCTCCTACAAGATTAACCAGTGCTCTGCAGGATGCTGATAGAAGCCACAAGACTGCTATATACTGCTGATGAGAAAAGGTATTTAGCAGTTTTATATTTACTAAAATAATTTCCTTTCCATGTTCTGTGTACCAGATCTAGTGAATGCAGGGTCCTGGGTTTAGTAACACTTTAAGGGCCCATTGAAAGTGAATGAGCTGACTTAAGAGAAATACAGCCAAAACGTTTTTTTTGGCCATACCTCTCTTTTGGATAACAGAAGTGCACTTACTTTTACATTCCTGTGACCCAGAAGCCCACTGTGGGCTGACGTCACAGAACTGGTCCAGGCTCTGGAAGGATCCCGATAATGTCAGGATCCATCCAAATGATTGACCAGCAGCTGCCTCAGACTTTCAGTGCAGAACTGAGCCTGCTATTATCACACCCTTCCCATTCCAGCACTCCAGTGAGTGCTGGAAGAGCACAGCAGAGCAGAGAGCAATGACTGTCACTGCTCAGAGAAGAATGAGAACTGATCAGTCATGATCACTCAGTTCTTGGGCTTAGAGCCGACAGTGGACAGCTGCAGCAGGGAGGTGAGACATGTTTTTTGTTTTTAAATCCCAAACTTTAATACAGAGTGCTAACTCACAAAAACATGGGTTAACGTGCACACGGGTGTGCATGGAGCTTGAAGACCTGATAGCTTTTCCTACTCAAAAAAAAAAAAAAAAGTATATATATATTAAAGGCAGGAAGACAGTTGCAGTTAGAGCCTGAAAGGTCAGAAAGGTCATAACAAAAAAGACAAAAAGTCTGTGGTAATGTCCATGGGTTCCAGGCTTCAGGCAGTCATTGCCAGTACAGGGTTCTCAACAAAATATTAAAAATGAACATTTTATTTATTTTTTATTATATTCATTTGTCCAATTACATTTGAGCCTCTGAAAATGGGAGGGACTGTGTATACAAATGGTTGCAGTTTTTAAAATTTGTACTTATTTATCTATTTCAGGTACTTATATAGCACCGTCAATTTACGCAGCGCTTTACATATATATATTGTACATTCACATCAGTCCCTAACCCTCAAGGGGTGTACAATCTAAGGTCCCTAACTTACATTCATACATACACATATTAGGGCCAATTTAGACAGGAGCCAATTAACCTACCAGCATGTCTTTGGAGTGTGGGAGGAAACCAGAGTATCCGGAGGAAACCCACACAGGCACAGGGAGAACATGCAAACTCCAGGCAGGTGGTGCCGTATACTTGATATTTATGGTCAACCCCTTGAATTAAAGCTGAAAGTCTGCACTTCAAATTCATTTGGATTGTTTCATTTTAATTTATTCTGGTGGCATACAGAGCCAAAAGCATGAAAATTGTGCCTGTGTACAAATATATATGGACCTAATTGCATATTTGGCTAGGGTTAAGCTTTAAAAAAAAAAAAATGCAAATATTAAGGTGCAGGTGAAGGAAGACTATTTTCTCACCATCACTATTTTTGTCCAAGCTTGTAAAAGCAATTTTCATTTTCTTTTCATGTTCTTCTAGATATTTCATGAATTCGGCAAAGTCAAGTGTTCCATCTTTGTCAGTGTCACCAGCTGCAACAATTTTCTGAAAAAAGGTAAAAGAGAGACAAACAATTATTGATTCAAATTGTATTGAACAGGGCAAAGCAACAGCTCTGCTTACTCAGACACTCCCCAGCATCATATAGTCACCTTTCCTGTGCTCTCCAAGTGCTCCATTCAGAGAACCAACAGAAACACTGGGTACTTTTGGGATAGTGTCACTCACTCCATATATCAGTACTGGGGATTCAATAGGCTCTATCGCTGTTACATGGAGTCAATCTGGAGCACTACATAAGCTACAACTTGAGCAATTCATAGCCTACCCTGGGTGACCTCTCTCGCTGCCAGAAGCAGAATGGAGTGTTGGTAAAGCAGAGGAAGGGTGAGCATTTAATGCATGGGAGGGAAGGATCGAAATGAGCCTGTTACTTTGCCCCGCATGGAAAAGCACAGGTTCACTGTAATGGCTCGTTCACACTTGACTGTTTTACCAACTCTTGCCAAATGCCCCTATAGCATTTGGCAAGCGTTGGTCCGGCGTTTGCGGATCGTTTTTTAACGCTCGGCAAATGCCGCATGTGCGGTTGAGCGGCGGTTGCTAGGCATTTGCCGAGTGTTAAAAACGCCCTACAAACGCCTATAATGAAGTATGAATGGTGTTGTCGCTCTGCAAACGCCCCGCAACCGCACAGCAAATGCCGGCCGCGGGGCGTTTGCGGAGCGGCACCATAGACTAGAATAGGAGGCTTCAACGTCTCCTGACTCGACCAGAGGCGTCCGTTTTGCCGCACCGTGAAGCTAACGCTCCCGTTAGAACAGCACTATGTGCTGCAATGTGCAGAATTGTCCAAGGCGTTTGGGAAGTGGTAAAAACGCTTCCCAAATGCCTTTGCGTTTGGAAAGCGATAAAAACGCTTCCCAAACTCCTTTCTGCTGCTGCCTGCACACAACGCTAGTGTGAACGTAGCCTTAGGCTACATGCACACTGGGCGACTAGCCTGTGTAGCCCTTGTGCGTCCAATCTAAGAATTTTTGTACAGCCTGGAGGCACAGGTGTAGCATTCAGCCCTGCTACCTTTCAAAGTCTATGAGGCTGAAATACGCTGCAGCTGGACAGGTCTGAATACTATACAAAGTAATACTCCCCTTCAGAGCCCTATGTGTTCATTGAAATGTGCCCAGAATGCAGGTAGAGCATATTTCAGCCTGCCAGAGACTTTGAAAGGCCCCTTGGATCACTTTTCAGGAGGCGTTTGACAGGTAATGAGGGGGCGATATGTGGCCTCTCAATCACCTGTTACAAGCTTCCTAAATTCTGCACCACAACCACATGCATTGCACGCAGTTGCAGGGTGGTTGAAGTAGAGCTACATTCACTTGAATGGGCTGCGTACAGTAGGCGGTAGTGCCAACGAAATGTAACAATGTAATTCTTGCTGCTGCCGTGAAGAAAATCATCACTGCTGCAGCATGTGCACAGCCCCAGCTGCTGCCTTATCAGCTAGACGAGGAGCGATAAAACCATAGCTCAACCATAAGGTTTTACCACCCCCAACTACATATGAAAGAGTCCTGAATGAGAAAATTGCAGAGCTGCAGAGAGCCATGGAAGGAGGAACCAGTGAGTAGATACCACTGTTAGGGACCTCTGTAATCATTCTCTCTTCCTCCTCTCACCCCCCCCCCCTTCACCTCTCTCTCGGTTTCCCCCTTTCTCGCCCCCCAACATCTCTTACTCCCTGCCCCCGACTCTCTCCCTCCTCCCCCTCTGTCTCTCTTCCTCATCCATCTTTCACTTTGTACCTTCTATCATTCTCATCCTGACCACTGCACTCTATATAATATGTGTTACCGGTATATGTTATTTAAGCTGCCCATAAATGGATTGAAATTCAACTTAAATTTTGTCAATCAGCAGCTGCAGTGCTGATCAGCAGAGGAGTCCCTGCTGTCAGAATATATTAGCGCAGTAGGGAGGATTCCTCCATCTGCTTATGTGGATGGAATCGTTTTTTCTTTTTGTTTTTTTTATGTTTGACCCGCTGGCTATACAAAAAAGAAAATAAACAAATAAATAATCTATGGGCAGCTTTACTCCTGACCCCTGCATTCTATATATGTTGTAAATTACATAGTCCTGACCAAAGTGTTCATTATCTCTATAGTTGCTGACTTTAATGAAGTCCTTCTTTAAAGCAATACTAAAGCTTTGGGTTTTTTTTTTTAAATAACAAACATGCTATACTTACCTGCTCTGTGCAGGTATTTTGCACAGGTCAGGCCCAATCCCCTTCTTTTCAGGTCCCCACTGGCACTCCTGGCTCCTCCCCCTCAAGCAGTGCCCCCAGAGAAAGCCCCTTTCCCTGGGGCCACCACTGTGTGCTCTTCCCCGAGCCACTGCTCTAAGCGTCCATAAGACACAGAGAGCCATGGCACGGCCCCTCCCCCATAGAATGCATGAAGGTAAAAAACCTTGACTCTTTAGAACCACTTTGAAGTAGAACAAGGAAGACAAAGTGTTCTCTTTGTGTGCAAAAAAGCATATGTGAATTAAAGTTTTACTTTTTTGAAATGATCCTTTGTTCTGAGGTGTATGTGTATCTGTGAGACTACTGTCAGTTGTGGTACAGTAATCAGGAGTATGTACTATTATTAGGAGTGGGTACAAAGACTGTGGCATATATATATATATATATATATATATATATATATATATATATATATATATATATATATATATATATATATATATATATATATTTATACATACATACATACATACACACACACACACACATACACACACACACACACACACACACATACATACATATACATACATACATACATACACACACAATTTTCTATTTCTGGGTAGGCGTGTAATCACCGGGCGCCGGCGGGCAATCAATGGCCACGGCCACAAATGGCGGCACGGCTCACGCACACCCCCTACCTGGAAATGCGAAATCACGTATATATACACTCATGATTTTGCACACATGTGCCTCCGTGTAGCAGTATATCTGCTATACGGCGGCAGGTAAGCGGTTAAACCAGCACAGGTTGACCCAATTCAGTTTCTCCTTCCTATTGTATCTAGCTGCACTTGTCGTTTCCACAAACTTGTAAATTCCAGCTGTTATATCTTACAATTAAGGGCCTCATGCGTTTATAGAGAAAACAATCTATTTGCTATCATATGGAGCAGAGCCAAACCGGGTGTTGCCAGCCAGGGACCCCATATAATTTTAAATTTTCTAATACAGTTTCTGTGTTGAAATATTAGTTTTCTATGGAGATTATATTTTTAACCTGAGTTTTCCACTCTGTTACGGATGGAGGGCTGGGCGATATCAATTTCCGTGCTGTATAGAGTAACCCAGTGACAGAAGGCATCAGCTCAGTGGGTACAATAGACTCATCAAACATATTAAGCAGGCATATTTTAGGTTCTGTGGACAAGGTAACTTGATAAATGGAGGTTATGATAGAGACAATATCTTGCCAATATCTATGAAGTTTCGGGCATATGCTATGGCATATGAATAAGATCCACCAGACCTCACATCTTGGACACAAATCTGTGTCTCTACGATTCCTTCCCTACAATTTAACTGGAGTATGATAAACCCTATGAAGTATAAAAATTTGAGTGAGTCTCTGCATTGGCGACAAAGACACTATAGGGAGGGATTTCAATGCATGCTCCCACAGCTCCTACTGCAGTGGTCCTAAATCTTCCTCCCATCCCCTTCTAGCTGGGATAGATGTGCATGAGTGTACCACCATCATCAAAGTCCCATATAATTGAGAAATTAGCCTTTTTTTAGAATCTGTTCATTTAAGCAACCGTAAGATTGGGTGTTTTTTCTGCTATATGATATGTATGAGCCTGGGTAGTTAGGGCATGTCTCAACTGTAAGTATTGAAAAAACTTTGTGTCGGGAGATTAAATTCCATCTGAAGGGTCTGAAATGTCTTTAAAGGAATGATCATCATACAATTGGGAAAAATATCTCGCCCCCCTTTCTTGCCACATCCCAAAACCCTTTCATTTGTTGACCTCCGGAAGGAAGAAAATATTCCATAGTGGGGTGCTATCAGTAAAACCCTCCCTTTTCAGTAGCTTATTACCTATAACTGATGGAAAAGAAACAGTGTGGGAGAGTGTTGGGATGATGCAAACATTGCAGCTTCCATCTGGGAAAGCAAAGAGTATTCAGACCTAATAGATAATAAAATCGCCTGAATACGGTCTGCAAAATCAAGGGTATCCCAATCCAGAAAATGCTGAAGCTGGGTGGCAAAAATATACATTTTGGGGTGTGGGATGGCCAATCCACCAGCATCCCTTCCCAGTTGAAGTGTGGATAGTTAATTTCCGGAAGATTTCATCTTCCAGACAAGTTCTCGGAATAGAGCATCAACCCGTTTATACCAGTTTTGTGATATCCAAGTGGGAGAGTTATGCAGGATATATAATAATTGAGGGGCCTAGATCATTTTAATCAAATTATAGAGGCCAACTACCGTTAGGGGGAGCCTACACCAGCAAGCAGACGTTTGTTTAAATTTGGCTAGCAGAGGGCTCAAATTCAACTCCAAGTATCTAGACACTACTGGATGATTAAGTATTTAAAGGAGTCAATGTTAATTTTAGAGGCAGCAGGGGGTAACTCCTGTTTTAATGGGTCTAATGAAAGCAGAAAAGATTTGTCCCAATTGATTCTAAAACTCGAAAATCTGCCAAAACAGATCTATTCCATGAGGGTAATCAGAGATTATTATGCATCACCTAAATATAATAAAGTATCATCAGCATAAAGGCTAATTTGGTCTTCCCTGGTACCCAGTCTAAAACCAGTAATGTTGGTATTCTAACTGTGATCACAAGTGGTTCCATCGCCAGGGTGAACAGCAGCTGAGATAACAGACACCCCTGCCTTGTGCCCCTATGGAGGTTAAATGACTCCAATAGCCCTCCATTAATCCTGATCCTAGCTCTCGGGGATGAATATAGCAATTGAATCCATTTAA